GTGACTCCTGTGATGTGAAAAAAGTCTGTTTTGTGAAAAACACCAGTTTCGATACGACTGAAAAACCACCTCATCCTAGTGCAAAAACATTTTGTTGAAAAATGTAATATTTTTTTTAATTGACGTGTTTCCATTGARCAAATTTATTTTCGAAATTCTAATTTGCGCGTTTTCATGGTGAATGGAAACACAGGTAGTGTTGGTTTGAAGATGGATGGGAGGAGTTCGGCCTCTCAGGTGACCCTCCTCTTCGTCAGTCCCTCTGGACGAAGAGCTGCAGCRTGGCTCATGTTAGGAAGCTGTTGATGGAAATAACTGACATTCCAKCAGCAGACGGTAATCTGCTGCATCTGCAGGAGCTCCACTTTCATCTCCCCGTTTCTTTCTCTCTTATTATCTTCATATTTAGGGCTTTCTGTATCRAATCACATCAAGAGAAGAATGCATTCCTCTGCCTCCGTTCATGTCCGTAACGTATGTTGGTGTGAAGGAGGCTAAGCTAAGAAGCTAACCAGAAATTGTGTGTGCTGTAAACAACCCTACTGAGAGGAGAGAAGTACCGAGATGACTGTAAATGAGAGCTGCTGCTTTGTCAGACAAATTCAATTTAGTTTGAAGCCTTATCAACACAGACTGGCTTCATTCACTTCCTCCACTGCCGTATGCTAAACTAACTAGCAGACACTGTGCAGAAAATCAACATTCACTGCAAAAAATGTCCATCTTACCAAGTTTTAAAATCTTATATCAGCCAAAAAGTCTTTTTGATCTTGTTTTGAGACTGATTTACTAAACAAGAACTGATTATGTAAGAATAATTATCTTGTTTTCAGAATGTGTAAGATTATTTGTCTTGTTAAGGGCTCGACACACGGGAGGCGACGTCGCTCGCTCTCCATTCATTTCCTRTGGAGCCTGTGCGGTGAGGCRACAATCKCTTGCCCTCCTCCAGCTAAGCGACGGGCGAAAATAGTGCATGTGAAATTTCGCACTCGTAGACGTGCACACGCGAGCTTGCGACGCGACATATGAAAGTTGAAAAATGTTCAACTTCTGTCGCTGTCGCCTAGCGTACAACCAATCAGCGAGGGTTTCATTGACTGACCAATGAGAGGAGAGTATGCTACACACTGCAGTTAGCTAACACTTTCACCAAGTGATTACTAAAAAGCTTTGTGGGAATTTATTGGCACCAGGGTGAAGTTTATGGTAAGTTTTTCCTCATAAAACTGTATCTTGATGTGTTTGTTTTTCAATATCATTAGCATCGCAAGATTTGTTTAGTTTACACGTCCGTAATGCACACCCGCCTTCAGAGTCAAGAACCAATCAAATTTCATGAAGACAAGCGACCTGAGAGCGCGATTCGCAACGCTGCGATCGCTATCACGTCCCGTGTGTCGGGTTTCACCCTGGCTGCAATGACGGACGTTAATCGCTGTAGTTTGTCGCTCCCCGTGTGTCGAGCCCTTTACGCTGAAAATTTGACTCAAATTAAGTCAAAATTTTCTGCCAATGGAGTAAGAAAGTTTTACTTGGTAAGATTCTTAAAATACTTGATTTGACTCAATTTTTTCTTATTTCAAGAATCTTATCAAGTAAAATGTTCTTACTCCACTGGCAGAAAATTTTGACTTAATTTGAGTCAAATTTTCTGATTAACAAGACAAATAATCTTACACATTCTGAAAACAAGATGATTATTCTTACACAATCAGTTCTTGTTTAGTAAATCAGTCTCAAAACAAGATCAAAAAGACTTTTTGGCTGATATAAGGTTTTAAAACTTGGTAAGATGGACAGGTTTTGCAGTGTCCACCTTCTGTTTGCAGATTGGCCCAGGTAAAATAAACTACAAGCAGACACTGCGCAGAAAATCGACGTTCAGTTCTCGGATTGGCCCGGACGAAATGCTCCCGAAGAAATCATTGACGGAGCAGTGAAGGGAAACTAGAATTGAGCAGAACTGCGTAGGAAGGCAAGGCAGGCTATAAATACCCACTACTGGCACAGGATGGCACACATTTATTTTTAAAGTTTGGCCAAACTGGCTACAAATCCTTCATTTAACAGGAGATCTCAGTTAAAACTGATGAAAGACAGCAGGTGATAGTGTCAGGCCTTGGTTCTGATTTAAAACGTCTCTCCTGAAATATCCTGTTTATATCAGTTTGAAGCTGCTGCTCTGAGCACAGATAGCTGTAGGGTTGAGTGTGAGTGCACGTGTGTGAGCGTGAGTGAGTGTGTGTGTGTGTGTGTGCGTGTCTCACTTTAGTGAGAACTGTGAAATGTGGGATTGGTGTCAGGAGGTCCTCTCCAAACTCTCCCTGCAGTTAAACGTCCTTCCAAGCTTTGACTGAATGGAAGATGGCCGTCACGTTTTGCCTGCTTCACATTTAACTGCTGTGTGTTTGTGTGTGTCTGTGTGTGCACGCAGTTATGAAAGTGTTTTTGTTCAGGGATGACTCATTCTGTGGCTCAGTCTGGTTTTAGGGCCAGAGAGGGACGGTTCTGGTTGCCGGGCACGAGGTCAACCGGAGAAAGAAACAAAACGACAAGCTTCCTGTTGTTTGTTCCAAAACATTATTACAGAACTGATCTGTGTTGTTCCAAATTGCCGTCTCTGAGGTGTTAAATCAGCCACGTTGTCACTACTCAGATATATGGTCCGTGTTGCGTTGTGGAATCATGATTTGGTTTGAAAGAACTGCCTGTCTGGTTTCAAGTACAGGAGAATCTAAATGTAATCTGTGTTTTATGCTTTTTAAATTAGTCATTTTMCAATCTGAAAGACTGAAGAAATGTTCCCCGACAGTCGTAGAGATAAAAAATTGCAGGTTTGTTGGTTTAGTTGGCTCTGGGTTGAAATGTCAGAGGAGTGAGCAGTTGGGTCAGTGTGTCCCGTCGTCACGGGTTGGATTTCAGCAGCAACATAACTTTCACTTGATGAGGCAACGGGAGGACCTGGAGTTCCATGTCAGACTTTGATGCTCCAGTGGAAAAACCTCTGCTAACAGCTGAACGACTCACTCTTAATGACTTCGGTATCATTTGCAGATGAAGAAGAATCTAGCAGCAGGGTGCAGATTACTGCAGATTGGACTTTTTTTTGATAGACATCTTAGGGTTGTGTTTATTCAACTGGGCTGCGAAAGTCAAACTAGTCTGTGACTCAAAATTGTGAGAAAATTGGTCGATTTTCTTTTAGCAGTCCAGTTCCACGACTTGGAAAACTATATTCTAGGCTGTGCACATTATTTCATTGCCGACATAGTACCTGCCTCAGCCCGTTTTGTTCCCGCCTTGGCAGCTGGAGTACACGTTAGAAGCAAGTCTAGATCTGCTCACCTGTATTTCTGAGTCCTAGGAGCCAAGGCTTGACCACCAGGTCTGGTTCCAGAGAGGAAACCTGGTTTCCCTTTTTCTGAGGAAGGTTGCTAGTTGTGTGTGATCCTCCATCATCCAAGACTTCAGGTCACTCCTAGTCTGACCCCTCCTCTGAGGCCATATTACCACTGGAGACCTTACAAGAGACTAAAGTCCCAGAGTAGCCCTCATGTAGCCATTCTGTAGAGAAGCTGAAATGAGTTTCTGGGCTCAGCTTCAGTGATCAAGGGAGGAGTCTCATCATCTGCGAGGCTTGGACTCATCCAAAGGAGTCAACTGAAGTGCCCCAGACATCTGATTAAGTTAGTCCTAGAAGTTTTCTGGACATATCCCCCTGAGAGGAGAGGAGACCCCTGGGCAGACCCAGACCTTGTTAGAGGGATTATATATTCTTTAGGACTACCCTAAACACCCTAGATCTGGTGTGATCTCGAACGCTTGGACTGGTTAGTTATGGAATGGGAGACCTCCTGGGAATACCAGGTGCCGTAAAACCAACGAAGGAGTTGCGCCCACATTGGAACACTAGCAATAGAAAACCTTTGACCATAATAGATCTTAGGTTGCCTTCTATGAAGGATGACAAGTAGTAGTAGGCCTACTTTGGATCCCTCAGAAGGGGCCGGAGCAGGGGTAGGCAATCCTGGTCCTTGAGGGCCACAACCCTGCTTGTGTTACTTGTTTCTCGGCTCCAACAACTGATTTGAATGAGTAGGTGATCAGGTTTCTGCAGAACTTGGAAGAGGTAACTCAATGAGCGAATCAGAGAGTGTCACTGGTGAGAGGGATGTTTGCTCCGTGATCTGTTGTCCCTGCGGCCTGACCACCACAAAGTGACAGAAGATGCATTGATGGATGGAATCGAGTGAGACTGAAAATGTATTTTCTCACAGTTTTGAGTCACCAACAGGATTTTGCCAGTCAAGGCCCAGTGAGGTACTGGTTTAAGCATTTTCCTGTACTTAAACAAAATGTTATTAAATTTCTGAGGGGTACCTCTACCAAAAAGTCCGACTGCTGGTCTCCATTACAGCAAAAACCTTGAAGTTGTTTGTTTGTACCCCACACCACCCCCAGCCTGTTTGTCTGTTAACAGGACTCTGTAGGGCGGTAAACCCTGCTGGTATACATGTTCCCCCTGCTCAGACAGTGCTGGGAGCTGAGGAGGAAAGCTGTGTAAATCTCAGGCACGAGCCACTGCAGATCTGCTCTCTGCTTTCCTGGCGGGAGCCTCCGCACTGCGCCAGGCTGACGGAAAATAAGACACATTCCTGGTACCGTTCAGGACAAGTATCAGGTCATTAAAGCAGCAGAAGGTTTTAGAAGGATGAAGTCAGAAACAGTCCGTCGCTGTAGTCATGGTTCATCGAGGAGTCCAGCTGACCTTTGGCACCACAGGGGTCTTTTAAGATTATAAACTTTACTAGATTTTTGATGGAATTCACATATTTAGACACTAATGGTATAGATATTTTGAAGCGTATACTCAACTTGCCTCAGACCCATCAGGGTCCATTTAAGATTGTCCCTCTTCTTCCTGCTCTCCCCCCAACTGTACTGTCAGCTTGTAAAGCACCTATTCGCTTCTCTTTCTACCTTTCCTCCATCTTTCCATCTGCCCCCCCCGCCCCAGTCATGGAACATGTTGTTCCTTCTTGCAGGCTGTGGAGCTGCCCTTTTGTTGACCCTGTGCAGTTTATTTTTTCCCCTCTGTAGGGTTATGTTGGTGTTAAGCCACATAAGTTTCTCCACTGATAAATCCTCTTGAGGTCTGATGTCACGTGACGAGGCACAAAAATCCTCTTTTTGCTCAGTTTCACTCTGTATTTCTCATGTATGATAATTATAACCCTTCAGAACCCAGTAGCATTCTTTGAATCACTTTGTATCACCTGCCAGCTTTCATTTGTTGTCAATTAAGTCACTTGCTATTAGTGCAAATATTGTGGCCTGCTTAAATTTACTCAGGATGTTGAACCTATCACACTATGACCCATATGACTTATTAGAACCTGACTGGATAGTGACAAATTTGGTAAACCTCCTTCACTGACCAGCTTATTAAGAAAACATCCCAGACTGTACATATGATATCAGATCCTTACTTCTCAACGGCCTCCGTAGCATCATGAGATGGACGTTAGCCACTGCATCGGTTTCTGTCACTGCTGAAGCGGCTCAGTAGCTCCGATCTCGAATGAAGTCTCCACTCTCTGAGTTAAATAATTCATCGGCACACTGGGACTGTCTGAACTCTTTCTGCTTCACAAGGACGTCACCAAGCAGCCGATGCCTCACTCAGGAAGATCTGCTAAATATTGCAGGGCTCCGTCAGGACCGAACGACTCATCTTATAGAAGACCAAATGATACCCAGTCAGGTGTGAGTTTGGAGCATCAGTTGTCCAAAACCTGTTAGTAGTTAAAAGGAAATAGTTTGGTCAGGGGATAGTGACTATAGAGGACAGGTCATTGTAACATGAAGGCAGGAATGTGACTGTTTAAATCCACACATAAAGGTTTTTTTTATTATTCCTAAAATTTGTATTTTTTTCCTTCATAGGTTATGCTTTCCTGCTGTTCCAAGAAGAGGTTTCTGTTCAGGCCTTGATCGACGCCTGCATAGAAGAAGATGGGAAGCTCTACCTATGTGTCTCYAGTCCCACCATCAAAGACAAACCAGTAAGTTCTTACAACTGTCTAGAGAAATACAGAATAAAAGAGAAGTTATACAACAAAAATTACACTTGCTGTGAAACAGTGTGAACGCTCTGTCCTGAACACTGCTGAAACTTAGTTTTTTAAAGCTAAAAGAACCAGAGAAGTAGCTGAAAGTAACTGAAAAAATCTCAAAACTATGTACCTTGTAATATATACTTGGTAACTATGGAGTATTTACCTGATAACTGTGGGGTACTTACCTGGTAACACGTATTTGAAAACTATGGTGTAGGTACCAGGAAACTATGGGGTACGAACCAGGAAACTATGGGGTACGAACCATGAAACTATAGGGTACGAACCATGAAACTATGGGGTACGAACCATGAAACTATGGGGTACGAACCATGAAACTATGGGGTACGAACCATGAACCTATGGGGTATGTACCTGGTAACTCATACTTGGTAACTATGCTTGGTTTTAATATCGGTTCTACTTTTATGAGAATGTTTTACTCATGTTTTGTTGAGTCTCTTAACTTCTACTGTTCTATCTGTTGGTTTGCCATTTTAACATGTAAGAACAAAACTAAACTTTTGGGGATGGTCAAGATGTGCAGCAGAATTGGAATTGACCTACAGAACCTCACTGACTTACATAAGGTCAGGTCAGTGAAAAAGGCCAGACTTATTCTAGCAGACCCTGATCACCCACTCTATGGTTAGTTCAGGCTTCTTCTGTCCGGATGCAGGTTGATCAAATGTAAGACTAACAGATTTAAAAACTCATGTATCCCAGCAGCAGTTCAGTTTCTTAATGAATACTTGTGATCATCTTTGTGTTGGTGTATGAATGTTTTTGTTTTGTTTTTATGTCTACTGGCTGTGCAACAAATTGCCCTTTGGGGATACCAAAGATTCTTGAACTTCTTGAACTTGAACTATGGGGTACATACTTAGAAACTATGAGGTATTCGCCTGGTAACACATACTTGGTAACTATGGGGTACGTACCTATAGGGTACTTAGATGGAAACTATGGGGTACTTACCTATAGGGTACTTAGATGGAAACTATGGGGTACTTACCCGGTAACACGTACTATGTAACGATGATGTATGTACCTGTTAACTACGGGGTACTATAAACTAAACTATAGGGTATATACTTGGTAACAATATGTTATGTACCTTGTACCAGTTATGTACTCTGTAAGAACTAGGTACCCACCAAGTACATACAGTGCTGTATTCTGTCCTGCTACCATTTTCCTGTGTATTTCACACTTTTTAAAATTTCTTCCTCAGGTCCAGATCCGTCCCTGGAACCTGAACGACAGTGACTTTGTCATGGACGGCTCTCAACCTTTGGACCCTCGTAAAACCATCTTTGTTGGGGGTGTGCCTCGGCCCCTGCGTGCAGGTAACCTGCTGATATGAAGTCCGCATCTTCTCTGTGAGTCCCTAAAGCCTCTAAATGGGCTTCAGAACATTAAACTGGCACGAAGCGCAGAGTCCAGAGTCTGTAATGAAAGTTCTCCCAGTGAGAAAGTAATCCTCACGCTGGGTTTCTAGGAAGGCAGCTCAGGGGTCATCACGTTAAGAATTCATGCTGTAACGGATGATTGAGTCTTTCTGTTACTGTGGTGAGCGTTGTCTGCAATCCGACCCTGGCTCTTTACCTCCAGCAGTTTGAGACTCCAGTTAATATAAAAGGAGGATATTTTCTGTATCAGCGACAAGTATTTTATTTTAGAAGCATCTGCAGCTCTGACAATCACTTCCGTCCCGTTCATTTGTTTGCTTCTTCCTCTCCAGTGGAGTTGGCGATGATCATGGACCGGCTGTATGGATGCGTCTGCTACGCCGGCATCGACACCGACCCAGAGCTGAAGTATCCAAAAGGCGCCGGCCGTGTGGCCTTCTCCAATCAGCAGAGCTACATCGCTGCCATCAGCGCCCGCTTTGTTCAGCTGCAGCACAATGACATCGACAAACGGGTGAGCGGGTTTGTGAGCTTCGTTCATGGCGTCACAACCAGGCGTGTGGGAGGCTGGAACTCTGCTCGGGTCGTCTCTCATGTATCAGAACCTTCATTACGGCTGGGTTTTCAGCACAGCCTACAATAATGGGAGGCCGGGCCTGGCTGTGTAATCACTGCTGCAGTCAGGACAGATGTTTCTAGCTGCAGACACACGGCTTGGGTTAATTATAGTAGTTCTCTTTACATGAAAATCTCCCAGAACTGAGCTACAGCCTGGTTATTTTAGGCAGAGACAGAAGGGGACCAACACAGACTGGTTGTCAGCCAGGAAGGCGAGCCTCTGCAGGGCAGGGCGCCCCGTCCCACCTYAGTTATCATCATTTATCTTTGGGGGTTTACGGGTGACTGGAGTTGGGTGGAATATAAATGATGCTCAGAAATGTGAGAAATAAAAACTAGAAAATGTCCAATTATCAAAGCAAYACCAACGTCCATTACCTTTAATCTCTAAAGCCAAACAAGAGTTCAGGACTTCCTTCGGTAACAATCCAAGTCTGTGGTTCCCAACCTTCTTAGACTTGTGTACCCCCTGAGCCATTTTGTCATACCACTAGTACCCCTCAGTAAAATGTAATGATGATTCTCCAAAACTATAATGTACAACAGAATATTAATGAAAATTATTTATTTAACCCCCTAGAACWTTTAATTCGCAGGCATTTTACTCTTTTCAACTCAAATTAAACAAAGRTAAAAATGTTGCCTTGAAAGTGAATAAGTATTTAAATAAATAGACCAGGTAATGTCAGGTGCAGGAAGCAGCAGCGTCCAAAATACATCAAATACCCCCAAATGAACAAATTCTATGAGATTCCACATTTTATACTGGATTCCATTTAGTCAATTTCGTGATTCTGTTTGCATTTTCCGCATTGTGGAAATCATAGGGCCCTACAAATCTGTCCTATTTTTATTTATTTTTTTATACACCTGGGAAAATTTTCCACGTACCCCGTAATATGCTTGCGTCCCACAAAGGGTACACGTACCCCTGATTGGGAATCATTGATAAGTTAATGAAACGATGTTTTGAGGTATAAACTGTCAACAGCTTATTAGCGTAACGTTCATTTCCTCTAACCCTCGTTCTTCCCAGGTGGAGGTGAAGCCGTACGTCCTGGATGACCAGATGTGTGACGAGTGCCAGGGGGCGCGCTGCGGCGGTAAGTTCGCCCCGTTCTTCTGCGCCAGCGTCACCTGCCTGCAGTACTACTGCGAGTACTGCTGGGCCAGCATCCACTCGCGGGCTGGCCGGGAGTTTCACAAGCCGCTGGTGAAGGAGGGGGGCGACCGCCCTCGACATGTGTCGTTCCGCTGGAGCTGAGAGGAACCAAACCCACACCTGAAATACCCCCCAGCATGTCGGGATGGTGCCCCCATCTCCTCCACCCCATGTTCAGACCTAAACTCATCGTCCGGTGGTCACCTCAGATAAAAAAAAAAATGTATCTCCTTCAGCTCACGATTTGCACTATGGCACAAGATCTCACCAATTATCACACTGAATGGTTTGTTGGACTCCTGGCTTCTTTCAGTTTTCTGTTCTGTTGACCGAAGGGTTTGGTACTTCCTGTTCGACCCCTCCTTTACTGAAACAGACTGGTCCCATGCAAATAGTTAGACTCTATCTATCTATATACTTTTTGTTTTGTAATTATCTATACAGATGAAGATATTTAAATTTTATGCAAAAGGAGCATGCACTTATTTTGAAATTACTGTACGTATTTTGCCCCTAATAAAGAGAAAGGCTTACCAAAGGCTAATTTTAATAAATATATACAGAAAAGCAAAATAGGTGGCATCAAATGTAGCAAGGTTTAACTAAATGTCTAATCGTTTGGGCTCATTCTGCCCAGAGTTTAAAAAATAACTTTAATATATTTGCTCTCGATGTTAATACCTCATTCAATCAAATCAGTTTGCTCTCAATTGCTTGTGTATATTTTTATAACATTATTTTTTAGTGTTCTGTAACTGTACTGCTGCGATAGCTTTGCTGCTAAATCCCATGTTATGAATAGATACCACAATGTACTTTATTCTGAAAAGAAGCACCGGGTGTTTCCGAATGACAGGCTTTTCTATGAGGATGAGGGGCTCCTAGACACTACGCTGGGGGGGTCAGGGTGGGTCGCCCCTAACTGCATGTTTATTTCAGTCAGGCTGCTGCATGAAAGAGACTTTTCAGTATCATGTCCACTATTTGACTCTGCCCATGTTTGCACAAACACAATACAAACGTTCAACTTGCACAAAACTGGACAGAAACAGGAGCTGGACTAAAGGAACTCTACACTGCTGATAGGGCTGAGGGGTCCATGTCCGGACCACCGGGGGGGTTAGAAAAATGACTAATAATCACAAATGAAATGTAGGATAACCTTTTAAAACTCTCTGATAGGTGAAGTATTTTTTGCAGTGATTGTTGATATAATTGTGCAATTTTTTTATACTGTATGTAGTTAGATCTTAGTATGCCTAGAACTGTGATGCGCTTTAACTGTCGTCCGATAGAGAAGTCCTGTGAAACTTCATAACTAGTGTGTTTGTGCGCGCACACACACACACAAAAATACACACATGCCTGATCAGAAGAGACGCAGCAAACAGCAAATGTGAGGGCTTTTTTACGACAAAAGAAAACAAAAACATTTTGTTTGTTTGATGGAAGCATACGTTTATGTTCCTGAATGCAACCAAAGAGCTTGCTTTTCAAAGAGAAATTGTAATTTGAGGTCCCGTCTACTCAGCTATGAATATTTTACTCTTTGAAGAGCTGAGATGCTGCTGCAAGACTGTCCACATTATCGAAAACAAAACAAAAAACTCAACTTGGCTAAGTATTCTTCCCCCAAAACGATTATATACACACAAAGTTTAGTTTTTTTTAATGGTAGCATCTCGCTCTTCTGACTAGTTGGTGACTCAAAATTGTGATAAAATTGGTATTTCCAATTGGAGTCTCACTCAGCTTGTTTTTGTGGCCAGTGAGCCATGCATCCGCGTTTTGAGTTGACATTTTTGAAAAATCTTTCCAAGACATGCTAAATTGTGTTCTAGACTGAGCCCATTATTCAGCTGCCGGCATCGTACCCGTCTCAGCCTGCATTGTTCCCAGCTGCTCTAAAGATTGATTTATTCGACCGGAGTACATCTTAGAAACAATGACGGGCAGAATTTAAACTTAAAACCAAGCAACAAGTTTGCGAACCTCTGAGAATTTTTCAGATTTTGGAGGCTTCCTCGTCTGCTAGCCGCCAACAGAGTCTTTTTTTTTTTGTTATAAACTATTTCAGGCGATAAAGTTTATTGGCAACAGGATCGGAATAAAGCTAGATAAAGAAAAACTGTTAAAAACAATTTCATTATTATTTTAGATTTTAGGATGCAAAGTAAAAGTGGGCGTGAGCCAAATAGGCTGCCCCTTTCCTAAAAAACTAATCTCCTAGGTCTACACGGTTACACAATAAACGCTTAAATTCATTTTTCACACCAAAAACTGAGCCGATATTGTATTAAAATATTTATAAAGGTGTAGACGGGGCCTGAAAATGAAGCATCAAAAGCTATAGGAGACCTGAGAATGACAAACTGAGCCCTACACATGCTAATAAATGGGAGCTAGGTGAGGTTAGCAGAACATGCTTATGCGTGAGCCAGGGTTAACGCATTTATCTAGATTATCTTTTCCTGCGAAGCTTGAAGTAACGAACCTGCTAAAAGTTGTTTTAATAAAAAGGTTGAGTTTGTTCTAAACAAAAATGAGAATACTGGTCATGTACTCACAGAAGCTGAAGCACAGACTATGATCGGCTCGAAATTTTGGCGGGAAAATGGTCAACAGGAGAGGGGGCTGCATTCCCCCTCATTGTAGTCGTAAACTGTTATTTTCATCTATAGGATGTTTTTGTTTCATTTTGTGCAAGGTAAGCTAACTGAAACTAAGCAGAGTTTTTTTTATTTTTTTACTGACAAACTAAAAGCTTAACATGAGTAATAATAAGCATCTTTATTTAAACAAAGAGAAAGTTTTGGGTATATTTTGTGACTTTCCTTTCCCCTGCCCCGATAGTTTTCTACATTTTTTTTCCTTGGCTATGGTAGATATTTGTTGTGCACTACATTTTGTATCGAAGCAGCAGTCAGCAGGTTCTTTTGGCTTAAGGACAAAAAAAATAAAATAAAAAAAAAACTGAAAATATTTTACAATACCTCAGTTTTGAAATATATTGGGAGAGAAAACATATTTTCTAAGTTTATTCAGATTAAAAATATATTAATTTAATTCTTTAAAATAATTGATTTAACAAGGTTTTTATTTGTTATGCCCTTTTTTTGCTCTTATTGAGAATTTATTGTTTGAAAAGACAAATGAAGGAGCTTTACAACTAATATAATGATGGAGTTAGTGCGAGTATTGTCTATTTTATTGCAGTGGAAGCAAAAGAGAACCCACCTGGTTGAATCAGTCAATTTTACAGAAGTCAAATGTCAGGTGCTCTGACTTAAAACTGATTTTCCACCTTTTTTGTATATTTATAATCAGTCATTTACTGTGTTGACCAGAGTTGAGAAAATAAATCTTCTGTTTTATTTTTTTATGTTTTTTGAAAGCATGCTCTCTTTTGTTTCGTAAAAAATAACTAAACAAATACCATTGTTATGAACTGTTAATTTGACAAAGTTGGTGAAAATAAAAACCTGTGAAAGTCACTGAACTGCTAGAAGTAGAGAGTAAAGACTGTTATTTAGAAAAGAACATTTCAGACATTTTGAAGTAAGGTTCTGTGAAAARGCTACGAACAGTCTTTGAATGACCTCAGTTTGCAAAAGCAGTTTAATTCTGACAGCACTTTTAAGCTAACGACTAGCCAGAAAGCAGCTGAAACCAAAGTGAATTGCCACCATTATAAAACAACTGTATTCTCCAAATAATCAAATGCTATGGTACAAGTAGCCATGTCGGTGTGCTACGATACACAGACACGTCGGTGTGCTACGATACACGTAGACCCGTCGGTGTGCTACGATACACGTAGACACGTCGGTGTGCTACGATACACGTAGACACGTCGATGGCCACGATACACGTAGACACGTCGGTGTGCTACGATACACGTAGACACGTCGATGGCCACGATACACGTAGACACGTCGATGGCCACGATACACGTAGACGGCCACAATACACGTAGACACGTCGGTAGCCACGATACACGTATGACACGTCGATGGCTACGATACACGTAGGACACGTGGGTAGCTACGATACACATAGGACACGTCGGTAGCTACGATACACGTAGACACGTCGGTAGCTACGATACACGTAGGACACGTCGATGGCTACGATACATGTAGACATTGTCGGTATGCTACAATACACGTAGACATTGTCGGTATGCTACAATACACTTCGGCTGTGTCCAAAACGGCAGGACGGGTCCTCCGAAGGTCGAATTTGTCGGCCGCATACGTCACAGCGCCGCGACGAAGG